ACTCTTGAAATAAAAAAGTTTATGGTTTGTTTACTATGGATGTTTACAATGAGTGTTCCACAATTTTAGGGGTTTTAAGCGATTAACAGTTGGTCTCGTTGCTACATCTTTAAATTATGCCAGAAGTAAAAAATAAAAATAATCAAAGTTCAAAATATGTTGTTGACAACCAGTAGGCGATTGATTAATAATGTCAATTGTTGATGCCGGTTATATAGGTATTTAAGTTGAATGTAAATACCATTTAAAAATTTAAAATGAAGATAAGTGGACTAAAGATCTATTTTATTTTAATGGTTTAGTTGTGATAAGTGTACATATAAAATCTGTTTATGTCACAACTACGGATTTACACGCATTCTTTGGTTGGAGTAGAACTTGAAACTACAAGCAATCCTCAACAAACAATGACATTTCTAAATCCATTTAAAAAGAAAAGAAAATAACAGATCATAACATTTGATACGTTCAAAGGCATTATATGGATATGTATAGATGTGGAACCCATTTACGTTGCCTCCTATAACTTTTTATGAGATTCTTTTTTGTCGGTTCATACAGTCAGTACTCAAAAGTACGAAACATAAATAGTAATCAAGTGGATCTTTAACTAATTCAACAGTCAAATTCCCATTTTATTATTTCAAAGCTACAGGTATTCAATGGAAAATAAACACACCTGATTTGTTAATTTATCTTAGAAAAACACCAACTAACTAGCATGAAAATTGTCATTTTAACAACTTTCAAATAAAAAAAAGATAAATAGACTGAACATATAGGAATTATATATACAATAAATTCAATGTTACCGGTTCAACAAATATTTTTAGCTAAATTTTTGTGCATGGATTTGGGATTGGAGACTTGGTCAACCAACCTACCTTTCTACTAAATCAAGAGACAAAATGCCTCAAGCTTTCATATGATCATTATACAAAGCAAAAATAAAATAAAAATATATTAGTTCTAATGAATTGAGAGATATCTCTTTGTATTAATCACTGTTTCCTACATATATTCAGTTATTTTTCTTAAATGGAAAAGAAATAAGAGAATTGTACAAGAAGAAAAAGATAAAAAACCAAAGATAGAAGAAAGTGTTCTTGTTGTCACAAAGGACCACCTAAAAGATCAGGTAATGTGATTTTCCCCAAATTATTAGGATCAAGTTTATCAAACTGATTCACAACTTGATTAATGTCTTTATCACTAATCTTCCCCATTTCCTTTAGCTTCAACACAATATACTCTGATTTACTGAAAAAAAAAAAAAAATCCACCAAAATCAAAATGAATCAGAAAGATTAATCACTCTACACTCAGTCTTAAAATCATTGGATCAGATAAAACAGAGACAATACTTTAATCCCCACACTTTAATTGTTAGTTGCAAGAAATAGTCTTTGACCTCAGATTTACACAATCTTCAACACACTATCCTCAAAGTTATTTGCCCGAGTCGCCAAAAATCTGACTTTCATAAACCCATTACCACAAAAACATCTCAAAATCACTCTTAATCCTAACCAAATGATCCACTACTTAACCAAAAAAATCCAACCTTTTTCTAAAACCAAACCAGAGAGAGAGAGAGACTCTGTTTCATTGGAATTCCACAAACCCATTACCACAAAACAGCTCAAAATCACTCTTAATCCTAACCAAATGATCCACTAAGTAACCAAAAAACAAAAAGTTATGAGTTTTTTTCTTTACCTAATGAAACCATGTTGATAAGTATCAGCAGCAAGCAAATCCTCGACAGTAATTTTCCTATCCAAAGCCGATTTCACAGCTCTCCGATGCCTTCGATCAATCCTCGCTTCAGCCAAATACAAAAACGCACGAGCCACGGCAAGAGTCGAAACTAATAACCAAACAGCAGCGAAAAGCCTCCCTTGAAGCGTCTTAAAAGCTCGATCACCATAACCAACAGTCGTAACCGACATAACCGACAGATAAACCGAATCAACAAAACCCAATTCCTCAACGAAATACAAAACCAAAGAACCAATTCCAACGCACAAAACGACGACGCATAAAGCTAACCCAACTTTCATCCTTATCCTCATCCTCCCTTTCTCGAAATCAATTATATAATCCTTCGCAGAGAATCTATGGTGATGATGATGATGTCTCGAACCCATTTGGTGGATTCCGGTGAGAAGCAAGCTCTCTTGAAGATCGAGAACGTAATTGACAACACCAGAGAGAAGAATATCCAAAAACCCAAATCCGAAAAGCACGAAAACAACAGCAAAGATCTTCGTCCATGGAGTCAACGGAGCGATGTCTCCGTAACCGATTGTACACATAGTGACGATACAGAAATAGAGAGCGTCGACTACGGGATGAGTCTCGATACCTGAGTAATGGTCACGATTGAAAGAGTAGATTGAAACACCTAAGGTTAAGTAGATGATTAGAAGGAAAAACGCTTGTT